AATTCAGTGAGTTCTAGTATATTCACAGAGTCGTACAGCCATCACCACTGTCTAGTATTAGAGTGTTGCCATCACCCCAAGAAGAAACCCCGTACCCATTTGGCAGTCACTCCTTTTGCCCCTCTCCCCAGCCCCGGGCAACCACTAATCTAGTTTCTGCTTCTATGGATTTGCCTATTCTAGATATTTCATATAACTGAAATCATACAATATGTGGCTTTTTGTGGCTGTCTTCTTTAACTTAGTGTAATGTTTTTAAGATTTATCCACATTATAGAATGAACCTTTCCTATTCATTGCTTTTTATTGCTGAAGACCATCCCTTTGTATGGATATACCACATTGTGTTTTTTCATTCATCAGTTAATGGACATTTGTTTCCACTTCTGGGCTGTTATGAATAATGCTGCTATGAATATTCATATACAAGTTTTTATGTGGACGTATGTTTTCATTTTTCTTGAGCGTGTACCGAGGAGTGGGATTACTGGGTCATATGGTACCTCTGTGTTGAACATTCTGAGAACTGCCAGACTGTTTTCCAGGGCAGCTGTGCCAGTTCACATTCCTGCCAGCAATGTATGAGGGTTCTACTTTCTCCAAATCCTCATCAAAAATTATTATTCTCAGTCTTTTTTGATTATAGCCTTCTAGGTGGGTGTAAAGTGGTATTTCATTATGGTTTTGATTTGCATTTCTCTGATGGTTAATGAGGTTGAGCATCTTTTCATGTGCTTATTGGCTATTTGTATATCTTCTTTGTAGAAATTTCTATTCAGTTCCTTTTAAGATTGGGTTATTCATCTTTTATTGACTTATAAGAGTTCTTTATGTGTTCTGGTTACAAGTCTCTTAGTTATATGATTTGCAGATATTTTTCTGCCATTCCATGGGTTATCTTTTCACTTTCTTAATAGTGTCCTTTGAAGCACAGAAGTTTTTCATTTTGTTGAAGTTTAATTCATCAGTTTTTTTTTTTTTTTGGTTGCTTGTTCTTTTGGTGTTGTATGTAAGAAACTGTTGCTTATTTCATGGTCATGAAGATTTTCTCCCTTAAAACGTCCCTTTAAGTTCAGTTTTCTTCCTTTAAAATTCTGTTGCAGGACATCACCTCCTCCAGGAAGCTTTCCCTGAGCACCTGCTCTGATGTACATGTCCTTCTCTGTGCTCCTTGTGATGTGTTTTGTAAATGCCTAGCAGAGGGCTGTGCTATGCATAGTGTCTGTCTGACCCACCATCCAGGGGTGGCCGTACTACAGTCTTGGGACAAATCCAATCTGCCACCTGTGTTTGTATAGCCTGTGAGCTATGTAAATGGTTTTTACAATTTTAAATGGTTGAAAAAAATCAAAAGAAGGATACACAGAAATCCTTATACTTTTGCAGCTTCTCGTAAGTTTTAAACTATTTCAAAATAGAAGTTTATTTTAAACAAAAGAATAACAATGTTTTGTAACATGTAAAAATTATGTGAAAATCAAATTTCAGTGTCTCTAAATAATGTTTTCTTCTATCTCCCCCAATAAATAATGTTTTATTAGAACACAGCTGTGCCCATTCATGTAAGTATTGTATATGGCAGAGTTGAAATGCGGCAACAGACGTGGTTGTAAAGTGGCTTGCAAAACTGAAAATAGTTACTATCTGACCTTTTACGGAGAAAGTTTGCCAACCCCTGGTTCATGCTAAAATAGCAAGCCAGCACGGCTTCAGCGACACTATTTGATGAGTAATATAAACATTTACCCTGGGACAGGAAGCTGAAAGCATCACTTTTGGCCACACCCCACCTCCTCACCTCTGAGCATGTGGGGTCAAGTTCATCATGAGATTTTCCTAGCTGCAGCCTGCTGCTCTGGGCCCTGAGTGACCTGGCTTGTATGTTTGGTGGCTTGTTGAAATATGTATCTGAGACAGCCTTTTTTTTTTTTTTAGTGTGGTGGTGAGTGTGATATTTCCATTCTAACCACTATCTGGAAGTTTCCACTCAACTTTTTAGGTGTGCTTGAAGACCAAGCTAATAATACTTTAATTCGCCTTGCTGTAAAGCTTTGGAGTGTGTGAGACCTGTTACGTTTATCTTTTAGGTGTTTAAAGACAATTGCTGCAAAAGGGAAGTCCTCAATTTATACGTATATTGCAAAAATACTCCAGGATGTAATGCCAAGATTATTCTGGGACGATACCAGGTTGGTATTACTCATGAATAATAAATGCCTTTGCCATTTTTCCAGTGACGCACATTAAACCCTTTACGTGACAGTTACTGGGCTAAGCATGGTACGAGGATTCCCTGAGTTGTCCTCGGAGAATTCCCAGTCTAGCATTGAGTTAGCTACCGCGCTGCAGCACTCCAGGGGCCGAGATGTGAGTGAAGAGGGTCATTTTGTATAGAACGCCTGTAGAAGACACGCTATATCTGCTGGACCTTAAATCGTGGGTGAGGGATCATGGAGCCAAAAGAGAGGGTGTGGGACATGCTGGACAAAAGGAACACCCACGCAAGGACATGTCATTTGGGGGAACTGTGAAGGATTCGGGATGCCTAGGGCGGGAGCCAGGGAATGACTTCAGAAAGACACAATCGTGGGAGTCCCTCCCTGAGAGCATTTGCTCTTTCAGCTGGTGCTCTGGTGGGTGTTTCCCAGCAGCTGTGGGCCCCGGCCTCGCCGGGTGTATGATCTAAGGCGGCTCACTCAGACCAGGACAGAGATAGGATGTGGTTTAAAGGTGATGCACTGATAGGACATGCACGCAGACAAGGTGTAGGGAAGCGTAGGTGAGGGGAGTTGAGTGCCTTTGAA